CGCTGGGCTGCGCGTCGGCCTGGTGCCCCGACGTGGCCGGGGCAGGGAGGACCAGCGGACGCCCTCCGCCCTTCGGCAGGCACACACGCACCGCTCAGAACACACAGTGGACATAGCTCCCCCCGCCCTGGGTTCCCCCCGCCCCCCCGCGGAGGCGAGCTCGGGGCGCGGGCCGACCGTTGGCAGCTGGGGGATTATCGGAGCCGGTAGTTCGGCACCAGGTCGATGGACTGGTAGATGATGCGCCATTCGCCGCGCTGGACGATGATCTCCCAGTACACCCGGGCCAGGGCCATCAGGCGGGCCGGCTGCCGGCGGCAATCGAAGGCCATCATGCGCGAGTGGACCACGGCATTGGTGCCGGCCTCGCCGCGGAGCTCGATGATCGGGTTGACCAGGACGTGCGTCACGCCGTACGAGTGCCGGGCATGGCCGCGGGCGAAGCGCGACAGCTCCGTGGTCCCGGCGATCTTCTGGCCACTGGCCACCAGCTCCCCGGCCGAGGCCCACAGCTCGAGCCAGGACTCGATGTTGGCACTGTCAAAGTAGTGGTAGTACCGGTAGAGGATCTCGCTGATGGACATCTTGTCCAGGATCTGCCGGTACCGGGTGGCCGATGTGTGGACCCCGGGCAGCTGGGTGGTGCTCAGCTGGTGCCGGTGGGCATACGCCTGGCCGGCCTGCCGGGCGATCGACACGTCCGGGTGGTGGGGGTGGTGGTGGGGGTGGTGGTGGAAGGGGGGATGTGCTGGCGGCTGCGACGGGGGCTGCAGCTGCGCCGACTGCATGTGCTGCGGGTACTGCGAGTATGGCGCCTGCTGCGAGGGGTAGTGCTGTTGCTGGTGGTGCTGTTGCTGGTGGTGCTGTTGCTGGTGGTGGTGGTGGTGAAGATGGTGCTGGGAGGCGGCGGCGGCGGGGGTGACGCTGGCGTGGCCATTCTTGCTGGAGAATGTGTCTACCCGGGCCTCGGACCTGGTGTCCGGTGTGCGTGCGTGCGTGCGTGCGTGCGTGCGTGCGTGCGTGCGTGCGTGTGTCCGGTGTGCGTGCGGGAGTATGGCCGGTGGTCAGTGGCCGAGGGGGGCAGGGGGTGCCGTTTTGTCGATCGGCTGGTCGGTGGTGTTGCCCCACGCTTGGCCGGCAAGCATCGGCCATTGGGCTCCTTGCTCGTGCTCCTGCCCCTCCCCCCCCCCCCTCCCCGCTCCGCCCCCAGCTTGCATGCACATGTGTCTGTGTGCGTGTTTGTGAGGGAGAGACACACAGGGGCACATCCGACAGCGCGGGATCGGCCATTCAATTATTGACTCAGGGTGCGCCCTTGTGGTGCTGTGCCCTCGCCTCCTGGGACTGCCTGCCTGCCTGCCTGCCCCCCCCCCCCCCCCCCCCCCCCCCCCCCCGGCACGAGAGGGAGACTGCCTGGCCTGCAGAGGCGCATACCGGGATCGGCCACGTCCACGAGCAGCGGCAGCAGCGCCCGGCAGCCCGAGCCCCGGGCGGTCTTCATCCTCGCTGTCGGCATCATACACGGCCCCCCCCATGGACGAGTCGCTGAGGGTGGCCGGGGGCGCGGCGCGGAGGAGCTGCACATGCAGCGGATTGTCGGACTCCATGGCCCGCGGGCTGCGATCGGACCCGACGGCCGCCATGCGAACATACTCAAGCTGCCCGGGCAGGGAGACCGCCGCGGTGGCCGGGGGCGTCGGGGTCGGCGGCCGAAGGACGCGCGTCCGTTCGGGCAGGTGCCCGCCATGGCCCAGCGGCGCGGAGGGCGAAGACTCTCGGCCGCCATTGGCCAGGGAGCCCGGCCGATGGGGCTGTCGCACCAAAGTCACAGTCGAGTCGCTGAAGGGGCGGCTGCCCGGGGACCCGGCCGCCAGGGCAGGCCGGCCCGGCAGGCCCTCATGGCTGTCGCGGTGCGGGTGGAAGGTCAGTCCATCGGCCCGGGCACGGGTCCGTCTCCGGCGGGCGGGGGGGCGGGCGGGCAAATGGCACGGTACAATGGGGCCGGCGAGCGGTGTTCCATCATCGGCGGGCGATGGCCGGGCACCCGAGGGGCGAAGTCTGGCCGGAGGGCCGCGTCACGCGTGTGGTCAGCGAGGGCGATCCCCGGGCAAGCGAGGCGAGGGCAGGGAAGGAGAGAGAGAGAGAGAGAGAGAGAGAGAGGGGGGGGGGGCGAGGGGCATTTCGCACGATCAGGCCCGGGCCCGGCTCCATGGAGGAGGAACTCGGCTGCGGCCGTTCGGGCACGCAGGTCGCCGGTGCCCCGGCGTTCGGGGGTCACCCGATGCCGGATGGGCCGCGAGTTGGGCGACAGCGGAGGCTTCAGCATGTCGGCCGCGGCTGCGGCTGCCGCCACGGCCGCCGCCGACCTGGGGCTCGGCTGGGGCGATCGCATGTATGCATGCATGTGTGGTGTGTGCGTGTGCGTAGGCGGGTGTCTCCATCAGAGAAGGGCGTGTCGGCGCGCGCACATGTGTGTGTGTGTGTGTGTGTGTGTGTGTGCGGTGTCCATCGGGCGGTGTCGCGTGTACGCAACAGAGGGGGGGGGGCGGGGGAAAGGCCAAGGAGGGCCGACTGCATGGCAGGGGGACTCGGACGTACCGGCTCCTCGGGTGCAGGGGCGCTGATGCGCAGGGGCGACGGCTGTGCAGCGGCCCCGCGGCCAGGTGGGGACACGTACTCCGCCGTCCCGAGAGATGGCGGCGACGGGGGGCCCTCGGCCGGCGAGCCGCCGGTGAACAGGTCGATGTCAGCCGAGTCATCCTGGCCAAGCTGGCCAGTGGGCCCGGGGGCCGGGACCCGGCGAGCCTTCTGCACGACCAGCTGGTCGTGCAAGTCTCGCGAGTTGGATGTGCTGATGTACCCGGCCGAGGGCCGTCGACTGAGGAAGCGCAGGGGCCCGGAGGGCCGCGCGCGGTCCGGCGTGTTGGTCATCGGGCGGGCGCCAGATGGCCGGGGCAGGGGCAAGGGGCGGGAGGCGAGGGGCGGGAGGCGAGGGACGGAGAGCGAGCTAGAGGCAACCATGTATCGGGGGGGGGAACGCCGGTGGCGCGCCCCGGCGTGCGTCCGCCCCCGAGCAGGCCAGAGAAAAATGCCCGCACCGCCGGGATCGCGGGTGATTCCCGGCCCCGCCCCGCCCCGCCCCCCCCCCCCCCCCCCTCCTATCGCCTGGGGCCCGGCCAGCATGCGCATGCCCACGCTCGCCGAGGCGCGCGTGCGTTGGCTCCCGGGGGCCGGGCGCGTCTTAACCCGGTGGATTAACCACCCGCGCATGATCGGCGCCGGCCGCGCCACTCCGCCGGGGTTTGGGCCCCCAGGCGGGCTAGCGGCCGGGCGGCCGGGCGGCCGGGCGGGTCGAGCGGGGAGGGGGCGCGCCCTGGGCGGCGCTATCGCGCTCCGCCGCCCTGCTGCCCCCCCCTCCCCCCCCTGCGTTGTGCGTCGAACCCGGGGGACATGGGGCGGGGGCCGGCAATCGCTGCGCTTGACACCGGGGCCGGAGATCTGGGCCGGCGATCGACCGGCTGCCTGCCGCTGCCGGTACGCGGGCGCGCGGGGGCGCGCCAGGGCCCGGGCCCCGGGGGCAAGGTCCCGCGCGAGGGGCACCCCCCCCCCCCCCCATCCGGTCTTGATGGCGGGCCCCCGGCGCTTCTGGATGTCTCTGCGTGCGTCTGGG